CTAGATCTGCAACAAAATAAACAAAATTCAGATCTGCAACAAAATAAACAAAATCAGATCTGCAACATCAAAAAATTCAGATCTGCAACAAAAAAAATCAGATATGAAACAACAAAAAAATCAGATCTGCAACAAATTCTACAAAATTTATACCACAATAAGCTCATATTTGCAAGAATAAACTCAGATCTACAACAAGAAGCTCAAACATTTAATAATAAACTCAGATTTACAACATGAACACAAAACAAACAACAAAAGAAACACAAAACCTCAGATTTGCTTACCATCACCATAATTGAGATAGAGAGGATGGAGGATAGAAATGGGTTTGATGGCAAGAGAGGAAGGAGAAGAGATTCATGGCCAGAGAAGAGGTAGAGGAGAGAGAGACGTTTTTTAGAGGGAGAGAAAAACTTTATTTTTAACCCAATTAGGTTAATCTCCTTATATATGTAGGAAAATTTTTGGTTAAGTAGACTTCTTAATGGAGAAGTCTACTCGAAAAGTCTACTTCAGTATATTTTTTCGATTTCGATTCCCGCCCAATTTGTTCCAATTCCCACCCAATTTGTTCCAATTCCCGCCCAATTTGTTAAATAATTTTGATTTCCCACTATATTTTTTTTTAAGTCTACTGGAGAAATCTACTTGAGAAGTCTACTCGAGAAGTCTACTGCATACGTTTGTTTACCTTAAACCAAAAATTAAATATTTTTGATATTAAACTTGTATCAAAACATTAATTTTCTTACCATTTTCACATTTTAAAGTTCAAATAACAATGATATGGACTCTAAATCATTAATCAAACCATAAACTATAATTCATATAGAATTTGGATTTACCCTAACAATACCCTAAACTTTACATCTCAAACTCGAACCTTTTTGAACTTCAAACCCTAACCCTTCTCAATCTTATACATATGAAACTTATAAATTGGTTTATTTTCATAAAATTTTATTTTATATAGATGCTAATTGTCTATGTTTTGGTTATGTTTATAATTTTTGTATCATAATATGTTTTATAATTTTAGTAAAAAAAAGTTAAGATTTAATTATGTAGTAGACTTCATTAGTAGACTTCTAAGGGGTTGTATGTTTTCTAGTTAATTTTCAATCTGCATTTAAATTGATTCATTTGTATGAAATATTGTATTCTATACATGTCAAATATATATGTCTTACTTATGTTTACCAATTTTATAGAAATTTATTTATTTTATATTTTCTAATTAATTTTTAATAAACTAATTATGTAGTAGACTTCTTACGTAGACTTCTCGAAGGGTAAAATCGTAACAGTGGCAAACGTTTTTTGTTTAGTCACAAAGGACTGAGCTGTAATTTCACTACCCCTTTGTGTTAGTTTTGCCAAACATTTAATAAGGGGTCTACATATTGAGAAAAATCAACTTTTATGTTATAAAGAGCAATTCCCTCAAAGATGAAAGATGTCTGAGCCACATCTATACTATTAAAAGAGAATCATTAATTTGAAATGTCCAAAAACTACCATGATATTTACTAAGTATGCCATTCGATTCACTAAAAATTTTAATCATTTTATTAAGGTTAATTTTGTCATATCATTAAAGTTTTATATTTAATATTAGATCTCTATACTAATCACACATGATTTATTGGTATTATCTGTTAACAAACTCATTTGATTTAATTTAGTTTAATTTCGAAATTATTTCAAAATTTTTCATTTTATCATTTAATATCTTAACATAATTACCATATATGTATGAGATAAATAATTATATATTAAATTTGAATTTATTATAAACTAAATATATATTATATTATAATCAATTTTTGTTTTTTACATATATAATTAAATATTCATAGTTAATAATGAATATGTAGTATTTAATTTTTGGTTACATATACATACTATGAAAATATATTATGTAAATAATGTTTTTAATGATAAGACGAAATTTTTAAAAACTATTATATACATACAAATGTTTTTGATTTTTTTTTCAAAATAGATATTTATTAGTATTATCTGTTAACAAACTAATATAATTTAATTTAATTTCTAAATTATTTCAAAATCTTTTATAATATCATGTAATATCTTAACATAATTACCGTATGTGTATGGCATGAATAACTAACATATTAAATTTGAATTTATTATAAACTAAATATATATTATATTATAATTAATTACTATTTGTTACATATATAATTATAAAATAATTATTAATAATGAATATGATATATTATCATTTTTTACGAAAACAATTTTATTTTTTCGAAATATATATATTTTATCAAACAATTATGATATATCAATGATAAATTTACAACAATAAAGTAAAACAAAAATCCCATATTTTTAAATTAATTTAGATTTAATTTATACATTTGGCAAGAAAATTTCTCTTTCTCATGTATTTCATTTTCACATATGATTTTTAAAAAATCATATAATATAATTATTATGATCATAACAACTTCTATCACACTCTATATTAATTGTATAATCTTAATTACGATAATTTTAAGAAAAAGATACGAATTAATATCTTTAAAAAATCTTCATTTTCCTAAATCTTTTCAAAATTAAAGCATAAAGTTTTCATCAAAAAAAAATTATTGCATGGCACAGGTTATATTTTTTCGATCAAAATCAACATATAAAAATTATCAAATTCGATACTATTTTTTAAAAACTTTGAATTTTTATCCTGTTAAATTTTTTGATTTGTGTCAAGTGTGGAGTAATATTTTTGGACATGCTCTTAATGCGGATTTGATGATTTTGGCGCGGATCCAAAAGAATAATTGGTTATTTGATATTTATACTAATAAAAGAGAAGCACTTCTTTGAAATCGATTTTCATTTTATTTTTATTTCAATAAAAAACATTTATTCTGACAATATCTTATATTCATATAACAATTCTTGCTCGCGTATGATCCTGCAAAATCAATATTTTGTTAGGTGACCAGCATGTTGATATATTTCATAAAAAAAAACAGAGTTAGCAATGATTTATATGATTTTATGCAGGTTTAGTTATGAAATTCTCTCTTGGAATTTGTTTTTTCTATGAACTTCTATCAATACAAAAAATGTTTGTGCTTTGTTTCTGTCTTTTTATGTTATGGCAAGACAAATTTTGTTTGTGATATTAATGTCAATTCTTAAAATAGATACTAAGTGAGTGTGGAAGCAACTAAACAGTTTTAGAGAAACAATGGAATTAAGAAATACTCATGTGTTTTATTCTTAGTCAATGTATATTAGTTTTCATATATTTATCATTCAAAATTTAACTACACATCTTAAACTTTGATTTTTTGTATAATAACTATTTTTTCTAAGATGAATTGATTTTGAAGCAAGAATAATGATCTTATTTTCCACGGAATTTTTAGAGTGATTTTATATAATTTTTTGATGTTATATATGATGTTATACCAATTGAATATGAAAAACAATTAATTACAAAATCATATAGTTTACGAATATAAATCTGATTGAGTTTTTTTTCAACATATTGCTTCAGTTATTCCTTAAGAGAATTCACATAAATATTGTTTGAGAACAAAAACAAAAACCACGGTGTTCACATGTGTCTTAATAGAAGTATTCTTCATATAATATTCAGAATCGCAAACTTTAGTTTTATGTATTATCATCTTTAATTGTATATAGATGATCTTTAACGATTTTCATGTTTTTTTATTCTCAAATGATTAACAGTAAGACATCAGGTTCAATAGAAGCTTTTTGAATCAAAATCGTGAAAATTACCAATTTTTGAATCAAAATCGTGAAAATTACCGATTTTTGAATCAAAATCGTGAAAAATACCGATTTTTGAAGCAAAGAATCAAAGTTAAAGATCGAAAAAAGATCTCAATCGCAAAATTTATAATTTGAAAGTATTCAATTTGAGAAAAAAAAATTATGATCGCATGTGTTGCTATTGGATTAATAAAAAAAATCCCTTCTCGAATGTGCTAAAATGTTAGACATAAAATTTTGGTATGGGTTTAAAATAAAACACTGGTCAGAATGTTACTAATAAGTTTTAAATAAAATTTTAAAATGGGTCAAAACAAATTTTAAAACAAAACCTGTTACATAAAAAAATTTGGCAAAAAAAAGTTTAAAAATTATTGTAAATTTGTAAGGAGAAAAAATGAAATTTATTAATAAAAACTAATTAAATGTGTCAAAAATGCATACATTTTATTTTTGTATGAGTCAATATATAGAATTTGGACACAACAACAAATTAATTAAAATATCTGATCTAATTTTTCTCATTTCTACTATGTAAATACATAATATAAATTATCAAATCGACGCTTAGCGCGGATCCAAAATCTAGTTTGATGTAAATCGTCTAACTTTTTATTATTGAACTTGACCATCAGCTTGTCTTCATTACGAGAGCTGAAGATTGTAAGTACGTGTGGATTCATCCCTATGAGAGCTGCATACATAAGAAGATTTGATTCATTGATTCACGGTTGCATGCATCCAATTCACGGTTGGGTGAAATTTAGAGGTGAAATTAGTGAAACTGCATTCGGTTTGGAACATCTTAATAGATAGAATTGTTTAACACCAAAAAAATGCATATAATCTTGTCAAAATTAGCTTAAAAAATCACTATTAAATAAAGCAGTTGACTAAATAGCATTAGGTGAATTTTGCAAAGACAAATAAAGAAATGAATTGGGAATAAGCCCTATTAAAACCCAATTAAAGCCCAAAGAGTAGTACAACTAAGTCTCATTTGAAGCCCGTTTGAGGCCCGTTTGAGGCCCGTTTGAAGCCCAAATAGTGGTAAAAAAGAATAATAATAAGCGGAAGAAGTTAGGCGCGGCTAAGGCAGAATTCGAAACACTCTCCAACTCCAACTCTCTCGCACACCGCTCTTTTTATAATTCGATTTTCTTTTTAATTATTATTTATTTTTAATAAAGCAAAAAGTCCATTTCACCCTTCTCCTTCTTCCCGCTGTTTCCTCTCTTCTCTCTCTCTCCATCCTCATTCTTTTCTCCAATCTCCCTCTTCTTTCTTCATCTCTCGCTTCTCCTTTTTCCCTCCGACAAACCTAAAACGAAGATTCTCTCCGTAAAATCGCTTTTGAAATTACTGTACCCCTCTTTCCACCACCGCAGATTCCCCTGGCGGCGGACACATGGCCGCGACATCGAACTCCGGCGAAGATCCGGTTCTCTATAACCACCACCGACCTCCTTTCCGCTTCGAGCTACTCCAATCTCTCTCCCCCACTGATCCGCGTTACTCTTCCTCGTCGAATCCTTCCTCTACGAATCGGCCTTCCTCCGTCTCTGAGCCGCTTCCGAATTCACAATCTCCGCAAATTCCAGCTCACTGGGACGAGTCCTACTCGCCAATCACTCAGAAATTTGTGAGTTTCTGCTTTAATCTGTTTCGCTCCAGTTTCCGATAGATGCTTTGTTTTATTGACTTAATTTCGGGAGCTAGGTTTTTTTTCCCCCTCCTTGATCCCAAATTTCGCGAAAATCAAATTGAATGAAGTTTGCCTTTTAAGGGAAACATATCCAAAATTGGATCTCGAGTTTTTTCAATTCTCTTCACTGTAAAATGGATCTCTAATTACAAATTTGGCATTCTCACTCCCGAATTCTCAAATGACGGAGAGAGCTTATTAATTGCGGCTACATACAAATTTCTTCTGGGTGAATGTGGACGAAACATGATTCTTCTCTTTTGTCTTGTTGAGCTTAACATCAAGGGAATGTTTATCTTCTTGCAGCAGAAGAGCAGAAAGAATCATCGTATCCAGCTTGGTTCCATTCCAAACATGCCTGGAGAAACCATAGATATAGCTAAAGTAACAGTGAAACAAGAATCTCCCCAAGACGTTAAACGTGGGTACAAGACAAAGGGAGCTAAACAGCCAAAGCATGGGAAGCGAGGTATCTTCCTGAATCTGGTCTAAATTGTAATTTGTTTTATAATTCAGCATTTTGTAATGATTGATTGATTTTTGTTTTTGTGTGCAGATGCGCAAAACGGTGGGATGAACGTAGCTACGAATAACTGCCGTTATGATAGTTCTCTAGGTAAGTGCAAAGCGCAATCACATCTCGCTGTGATTGTAATTGTATAAGTGTTACAGAGGTAATTGTGTGATATTAATTGTCTTCTGTTTCGCAGGTTTGTTGACAAAGAAATTCGTCAATTTGATCCGGGAAGCTGAGGATGGATCACTTGACCTCAACTATTGTGCAGATGTTTTGGAGGTATGCAAAATGTAATCTGATTATTGAGCTGAATGTGTGTACTTCTCAACTCGTAGAAGACCATCTGATTGTGCTTAATTGTGTATGAAGCGCACCTTTACTCATTAGTTGTCTTCATCAGTTTGTTAGAATCTCCTCTTATGTGCCTATGTTTCCTCTCTAACAGGTACAAAAGAGAAGGATATATGATATTACAAATGTCCTTGAAGGAATTGGATTGATAGAGAAAACTACAAAGAACCATATCCGCTGGAAGTAATTTAGACAAATCCGTTTCTTACTTAGATACAGAGCAACGTAATTTAAGCCTAAGTTCTTCTGACATTGGGTTTGAACCATTGATGCAGAGGTGTTGACAATCTTGGACAGAACAGCCTGGGAGACCAAATCGCTAGGCTTAAGGTTAATTTTCCACAAATCTCTTTGTCTTAGAACTTACTACAATGGAATAAACAATCACATTGTCAAGAAAGAATCGATTATTTCATTTTCCCCCGTCTAAACATCCAGTTCTCTTTCTCTGTGTTGGCAGTCTGAACATTTAGTTAATTCACGCACTTATTTTCAAATCTCCATTTAATTTACGAGTAACATCTCTACGTATTTTCAGTTAGAAGTAGAAAGTATGCAATCTGAGGAAAGCAGGTTGGATGAGCTTATAAGGTTTGGTTTCTTATGTTCTTATATTTATTGGGAGACTCATCCATTATTCTTCCTTCCCCCACATGAGTTGTTTATGATGTTATCGTCTTATATGACTCCAGGGAAAGACAAGAAGCTCTGAGATCCTTGGAGGAAGATGAATATTGTAGAAGGTTTTTAGTCAGTTAAATTTGAGTCTCATCTTTTTGTATTACTGCACGATACTTTACGCTAAAATCGTTGATTGAAATAAACAGGTACATGTTTATGACGGAGGAAGATATAACTAGTCTCCCACGGTTTCAGGTCTTCCTCAACTAGTGCTTGAAAAATCATCTTTTTATGTCTTTCTTCAACTATTTTGAGATACTAAACTGGTTGTTCCTGATACAGAACCAAACACTACTGGCAATTAAAGCTCCTATAGCTAGTTATATCGAAGTTCCAGATCCTGATGAGGTGATTGTTTTTTTCTTTTCCAATGCGTCCTGTACAGTTGTAATATAGTGTGTCAGCAAAGTGAAACAGCTGTTTTTTTGTTATGGTTAAGATGAGTTTTCCGCAAAGACAGTATCGGATGGTGATTAGGAGTAGAATGGGACCGATTGATGTCTACCTTTTAAGGTACTTAGCGACATGTTTTAACTCTCTCTCTCTCTCTATCTGTGTGTTTGATTTTTCTCTATATTGATTGATCTTTGGAACAAACATGGTTGCAGCAAATACAAAGGAGACAGTATGGAAACAAGTGGGTCTGATCAAAATGCTGCATCTGGAGTTGACACTCCTTCCTTGAAAATAGTAACTTCAGATACTGACGTAAGTGTAATAGATCCATATTGGATCAGTCTCGTGTTCCTGTGTATGTTTGTGATTTGAGTTACGAGTTTTGTTCGTGTATTTGCAGTTAAAAACAGATTACTGGTTCGAGTCAGATGCAGAAGTGAGCCTCACAGATTTATGGAACAACTTTTGCTGAAAACTCTAAGTTATTGAAACATCAAACATTTCAATTCCTTCGGGGTGGAAGAATGAAGTAATACCAATTTACATGTTACGTTTTACTGCGACTTTGAGCCTAAATCCTTATAGTTTTTTTTTGTTTCCTTTCTCTTGTTTTAATAAATTAAAGATGCCACATTCTAATGTCAAGATATATATATGTCTGGACAATTATGTGATAAAACTTGTATTTTTAATAAAAATATATAACATTATATTTTGGCCTTTGGATGTCAGAACCTAATCGACAGCAACATCCACAATGCACACATCTGTTTGTATAATGAAGTTTCGAGATTAACCTATCTGACACTTGGGTTATATTGGTTAAAACCGGTTACGCAAAATAGAGAATATTTCCAGAAAAAAAATCTTAGCTTCATCTACTAAAGAAAATACAGATAATTTTGGCTAGAAACAAACAGAGGCTGCAAATAAAATTTTTGTTACCTCTTCCTATGTATAATTGCAAAGCTGGAAAGCAAGTAGAGGACACGATATCGTGGAATTGAAGCAAAGAATGATCGACTATGTATGACGCCAGATGTTGTACCAAGTTCGTATTTCCGATGGCATTAACGGCCACATTGCAATTTCAAGTAATTCTTGAATTTAGTGGTTACTTGGATCCCAAGCAATACTTTTATTGGGTCGAGATTGGAAATATTTCAGTTAGATTAGTTTAAGGGATAATTTACCTTTAAATGGGTCGAGTTTAAAAATATTTCAACTACATAAGTTGGGATAGTTTATAGTTTATTGACTGATTAAGCTAAATGGGTTGTGATATAGTATATTCTTAGTAAATTAAACACAAATTGTTGTAGCGGAATTAGTAACCATAGGGGAAATTTTGTATGTTCTATTGCAAAAGTATCCTTCTTACAACACGATGACTTGGTTGTTTAAAGGGATTTGATATAGAGTAATCGATGCAGTATGTGAAGATTGATTGTGGATAAACAAGAAGCTGTATTAAAGAAGTAAAGAGAGAGAAATGTCATTTTATCCGAAAAATTATTATAACAACTTCGTCTCCTTCCTCTAGATTTTTCTGTAAACACTTGTTAAGGATTATTTTTTTCATTTGAGGATTCTTAAAAATTTGTTGAATTCGTTGTTTGATGAACATTGGATTCCATTTGTTAATAAATGTATGTTCTTGTGAGTACAAAGTTATATATTGTGAGAAGTTGTGAGGAATTTAATTGGTTAAGATAAAGTATTGTTACACACTAGCAAGCACACTAAATAAGCAAATGATGCCTATTAGAGATATATCTGGCTCGTAACCAAATTATTTAAGTGTCAATTTGTCTTAGAAATGCACAAGAAGTGATTGATTACATTCAAACAATTACGACACCACAAAAAAAAAAGATAAGTGACTACGTCAAAGACATTTGAGTTAATAAATTTGTTGAAAAACGATCAATTTGTAACACTTATAAGTTTTTGACAATTTTTCTATCCAAAATGTGTTTATATATAAGCTTATGATGTTTAAATTTTGAAGAGATTATCAAGTTTGTTTGTTTAGTTTATCATAATACTTTAAAATATATATATATATATATATTTATTCATATTTTCAATAAATTTTGAAAATAAAAAGAGAAATTCCCTCAAATGCACTTAATCTAAGTTTTTGTTCCACATATACACTAAACTCTAAAAAATTCTATCCATAACATTTTGTACCATATTAATCTTTATTAGACAAAATATTAGTTAATAAAAAGAGAAGAAAAATAATGTACAAACAAATGTATCAATGACCAAGACTGATCTGAAATTTGAATCATTTGTTTTGTTTAGGATCACTCTTCTCATTTGATTGTGATTTGTGATTGTGAATCTCTTAGATTTTTGGGGTTTTTTTGATGGGAAAGTGATTTCAGGATTTAAAGCTCAAAATCATATAATGATAGATAGATCTGATATAATTGGGTGAAAAACTCAAGAAATCCAAGCTAAAACAGCAACAATGGTGAAAAAAAAAGAAATCGGCGGGAATTAAGGTTTGGATGTCGCAGAGGCAAGGAAGGATATGAGCGTAAATTTAGGAAGATATTCTAAAATTTTAGGAAGACTTTCCTAAAATGTATAAATTAAGGAAGTCATTATACGTATTTAGGAATGTCTTCGTAAATTGTATAATTGATTATTATTTTGGTTAATTTATACAACTCAAATTCAAGAAACCTTTCCACAATTAAGGAAACCCTTCCACAATTCAGGAAGCTATTCCACAATTCAAAATTTTTTAAAAAATTTAGGAAAACTTTTCTAAACCATATGAAACGATGTTAAATTCTAGTATTTGGAAGACCTTCCTAAAAAAATCACGAAATATTAACAGAAAAGAAACTTTTAGGAAGACTTTCCTAAAGGATAAAATCGGAAAACTCAAATGAAAAATGTTAAGGGTGGAACAATTTTAGCTTCCCTGTTATATTTGTCCTGAAAACTTATTTTCAGTGTAATTATGGAAATTACATCTGTGATTTACGGAGTTATTAAGATAAATTACATCTGTTGATTTTGAGTATTGATTTTAATGATAACCAAAGAGAATTATATCTGTGATTTACGGAGTTATTTGATTTCTAATTTTCTATAACTAGGTGTTTCCCTGCACCTAGTGCGGGGTTTAATTATTTTTTTTAAAACTAATAATATTAGTTTATTTAGAAATGAAAACATAAGATTTTATAATTATTTAAAATCAAAATTAATATATTTGAAAAATACAATTTTCATGAGATATATTGTTTTTTAGCTGCATAAATCATTTTTATAAGATTTAGAGTTTTACTTGTGGCTGCATAAATCAATTAGGTGAATCTAAAATATTAATAGGTCAAATGATCAAATTAAAATGAGTTTAAGAAAATAATTAGGATTGATTTTTTTGTGATTTATGCTAGTTACCATTTTTAGTAAACTGAATATTGTTATGATATAAATTCGAATTTGGAAATCTGGATTTAAAAAAAAACAAAAATCAATTAAAAATTAGATTATATTAATTTGTTAATTTCATTAAGAGTAAATAAAGTCTTTTCATATAAAGGGCAAAGAGTAATCAATCATCATAACTCTCAACTACAACCCAACTTGCTTGCCAATTAATAATATGATGTTTTCTCAATCTATTTCACTTTTTTTTTTAAAATCGTAGGAGAGCAAGTAATTACCACACATCGATCAAAAGATCAAGTATTTAATTCCAAAATCTCATCTTCAGAATACAAAAGAGTGCAAAATTAAGTGGGAAGTATATATTAAGATAAATTATATTTCATGTTTTGAAGTTTGAAACAGTTAGTAAACCAAAGACTGATGATAGTGAGGTAAGTTCACAGGTCTTAACCTGCTTCCCACTTTCCACTTTGGATAGTTCAGAAAATTTTCGAATATATTTTCTATTTTGTTGGTAAAAAGTAGAATTATTGTTGAGTGAATGCAATGTCACATCCTTTAACTGATTAATAACAAAACATCAACATTAAAATGCACACGCCGTTGGATAAGGAGGTAACTAATTACCTCTAAGTACTGTAAAAATTAAAAAAAAAGGAGCCCACACGATAGTATTCTCTGAGTTATTTGATCACATATCATCATCATGTACACATACACAGCTTCTTCTTTCTCTCTTTTATTTCAAAATGCTAATACCCGGATTTGGAAGAGAAGAACCTGCTGATTCCTCTGGAGGATTTCTCTGGTGTTGGATTGCCTGATGAACCTGACCTCGAGAGCCTTGAACCCACTCGTGATGGCGATGTCATGAGATCGCTAGTCTCTGAGTCGGAAGGATATTTTGGAGATTCCATAAACCTAGGGACCTCGTTAACCCAAGTGTCAACTGAATCTCCTTCGTTGTAGTTCTTGGTGCCTTGTTCATCCTCGGAATAGGACTCACTTTGTCTTTGTGGTGACCTCGTCTGTTCAGGTTGTGGCCGTAGTGACTTGAGCTGCTTCCCCAACACAAATATGGTTTCTTGACACTCTGCTAACTTCTCTGCTGCTGATGCTAACTCTCTCTCCTGTACATATACGTTCATGTTAGTGTCTTCTTTTTGTTTCATCTCTCTCTTGCAGAGTCTATAGATGTGTATGCTTGTGTTTGTGTGATAAAAAATGTATATGCAACTAAACTGATTGCATGTAGTCTTGTGGAACAATGGGCATTAAATAAGAGGACATATGAGCAATGCTTTTCAAATTTACTTGGATCAAGAATCAAGAAGAGAAACTTGTAAAGCTGAAATTTTTAGACGCATGGCACTGAATAAGAGTTTGAGAAGCATTGCGAAAACATTACCTGTTTGGTCTTGATATCACCTTCGTCATCCACAGCAACCAAAGCAGTATCTCTGTTCCTGTAAAAAGTAAGTTTAACATCAAGCCTACTTAACACTAACCTGGATCATTGGGAACATATCTAAGATTCTTTCATATTCTGGTAAAGCTAATACTACTCAGTACTCACCTTTGAATACGTTCTTCAAGTTCATGGCACCTCATAATAGCTTCTTGGTGGCTGCGTTTTGCATCCTCAAGCTCATTCTCTAAATTCCGTACCTTTTCCCTAAGCTGGCTCACATCGATCTCTAAATCAGCTGCACGTGTTTCAAGTGATCGATATGACCCGGTCATACATCTGAGTTGCGTATCCGCCAAGCTGTTTGACCTCTGAGCAGAATCTAACTGTGATCTAATGTCAGCTAACATCTGCTCAGATTCTTGTAGCTTAAACTTCAGCTCCTCGATATCCACTGCCATCTTTTCCTTTTCTGATTTCAGTTCTTCTATTTCCTGTAACTTGGAGTCTGATTCATACTCCAAAACTCTGTTTCCATCACATGGAACCTCTGGCTCGTTGTGAGAACATCCATTTTGATAAACCTCTTTAGATGAATCTTTATCTACAGCCTTGCTCTCGGGTAATGCAACCTTGTCAATGCAATCTGGACTCAGAACTTCAACCTCGGAGGAAGCAAGACCCTTGAAAGTTACCTTTAGCTCCATGGCCTCGTTGAAGACATTAGCAAGATCCGAGACAAAACCGTCCAAGTTCTTCTCACCACTTAGAACATGGTTGAATGTGATGGAGAAGCCATCGATCAGCTCAACGAAACCATTTTCTTCACCTGCACTTACCTCTTTTCTTAGCAACAAAACGAAATCATGAATCCGAGAAACAGCGTTTTTCAAATCTTGGTGGTTGCTCTGCAGCTTTTGTTCTTCCAAATGACAATCCTCCAACGAGTTTTGCTCTGGAGATAACTCAGTCTCTACTTCAGGATGAACCTTCACATCAGAAGGCTTGTCCTGGTCCATACAAGCATTCACATCTTGCAAAATGCATTTTATATCCTCTACAATCTTTCCTAAGTCAGCATCAGCAGATACAGATTCAAGAACCTTTGATAGTCTAGATCTGAATGCCATCACTGCCGGAGTACTTCTATCGGAGTCCTCAAGCGCCTCAGGATTCACCAGTTCTGACTTTTGATCATCACCTGAAGAATCTTTGGAATCCATACTACCATTTCTGCTGGATTGATTTGGCAAACAAGCTAACTTCTCCATTTCAAGAAAATCATCCATAAGCTCAACATGACTACTAACACTCTCAACTCTCTCCAGTGCAGCCATGTCCATGTCTTTCTTGGTCTGCTGTGATGGAGCTGTTGACAAAGACCCACTGCAACTTCCGGAATCATCATTCCCATCTTCAGAAACAGAGATTGAGCTTGATGGGTTGCTGGTATTCAGATTCGGACATACTTCAAGTGATGAGGACTTCTGAAGATTGTTTTGCTGCAGTTGAGCTTCCAAGCTCTGAAGCTTACTAGTGCTCTGAGCACAAAGATCTCTTGACTCCAGCAACTCACTGTTCCGCTTAGCTAAGGCTTCTTTAAGCATTTTCGTCTCTTCTTCCATCGCGAGCAAACGTTCTGTTAGAAACTCGTTTTCTTTCTGGAACTTCTGCGAGTTATCGATAGAAAAGTCAGAACCAGAAGATGAATATCCCCTCGGAGACTTGCAGGGACTAGAAGCCTTGCTCGGAGATCTCTTTGGACGGGTTTCTCCGCTATCTCTGCCTAAGTTCTCAACCTCAAGCTTCATCTGAGCAAGTGCAGCTGGTCCCGGAAGCTTCTTCCTCACAAGACTTCTAAGTCTCTGGCACTCTGCTTCCAGCTTAGCTATCTTCTTTACACCTTCCAAGTGTTGCTTGTTTGCAACTTCCGCAGATCTAATACACATGTTCTTCTCTTCGTTGCGTATCTCAAGCTCTTTAGAGACTACATGGATTTCGTACTTGAGAGACTTTATCTCCCTATCGCACATTTCAAGATTGCTCTTCAAAGTCTCGATTTCAGCATCGCCTCTTGACTTCTCCTCGCTAATATTCACTAGCATGTTGGACCGTTCTTGTAAAGTTCTTGATAGTGCGTCGCTATCCGCTGCAGACCTTAGCAGTTCCTGTTCATAGTCAGAGATCCTCTTCTCAAACTCCATTGTCATTTTCTCCATCTGCTTGGTCTTGCTTAAAGCAAGATCGTGCAGGTTCGCTTCATGGTCTTTCTTCAAGTTCCGTATCTGCCTCATACACTCTTTCAACGCTCCATCTAAATGCGCCGCACGATCTTCAGCAGTGAGTTTCGAGAGAGTCACAGATTCAAGTGTGTTCTTCAATGTCAAAGCCTCAGCGTCAGCTTTTTCCCAACCTACACCAACAACAAAAAATGCTATAATAAAACTCTAAAGTCTAGATGTAAAGAAAAACGTTTTGTATAATACCTGCGACTGCATCTTCAGCAACCTTGGAGTGTTGCTTCACTAAAGTCTCTTTGGTGGTTATTTCCTCATTAGCAGCAGAGAGTTTTTCACTCAAGTCCTCTTTATCCTCATTAAGTCTCTGAACTTGCTCAGCATAACTCTGAACCTGCTCATCATAAGCCTCGATCTGTTCTTCAAAGCTTTTGACTTGCTCCTCGTAAGCTTCGACTTGACTCTCGTAAGATTTGATCTGAACATCGTATGTCTTTATTTGTTCTTCAAGACCCGTGAGATGTGTATACTGCTCCACAGAGATTTGTACATACTTTGGCTTCTTAACTGCATCCTGTTTCCAATATATACATAAGCAATTTCAACAAATCTAGTAGCAATAGAAGTTTCATCATAATCAAAATCAGAGTAGTAAATTATACCTTCTCAACTTGAGAATGAGAAGTATCAGCTGCTGCTGCGGATTCAACCACTAAGGTTGTTTTATCAGATGACTTTTTCTTCCAAGGCCAACTTCGTCGGTCCATAGCAATCTATGAAATTATTCACATTATCAGTGAAAATTACAGATTAAGCATTGACAAATTAAGACTTGTTCTCCAAAACTAAACTTGGTAATTTATCAAATACAGACCCAAAAAATAACGACATAGCCTGAATTTATCAGTAGGTCATGTTTCACAAATCAACCGAACCAGATCCGAAATTAAATTCATGGTAAATCTGATTATTCCTAAGAAAGAATTAAAAGACGGATACGACAAAGAAACATGTGGAAAATTTTTCCTAAATGAGTAAAGACGATAAGGTCTTCTGCAAAAAACTTCTGAGATGCATCGTCCAAAAAGTAGCTTACTAAATTAGGAAATACAACAAGGTAAAGTAAATCTTGCCGACACTTAGAATTGAAGACAAAATAGAAATTTAATTACATCTAACAAGTTTCGAAAAACTCACACCAATTTACTCTTAAATCAGCACCAAAACATATAATCCCAAGTGAAGGAGACGAAGATGATTTTGATGTCGGAAAGCTAAATTAAGCTTACATCGGAGAGAATGCAGCTCCCGGAAACGAATCCTGAAGTGAAAGCTGAAGCTTGAGGAGCTTTGTTTGTTCTTTCTTCAACTTTTTTTAAAAAAGTATCTTCATGCAATTTCGGAAAATGGAGATCTGGAGAAATCGTGTTTCCACTTATTCGGTGCTTTTGATAACCGACAAAAAGAGTTCACCGTCGGAGTAGTCGGAACCCTATGGCCGTTGCGTAATTTGTTTCGGCGGCGGAAAAAAAAGAAGAGAGAGAGGTGATGGTGATTCAGTCTCTTCCTTTGTGTGTGAAAAAGATTATACCAAAAAAACTTTAAATACCCAGAACGTTGCATAAAGCTCCAAAAGGAAGAAAAGCATCTTCTTCTTTTTTTTTTTTTGTATGTATTTATATTTTTATCAAAATAGCATCTTCTTTTAAAAATTAGAAGAAAATAATTTGACTAATAACAAAATACTTATAAATTAAAATAACTCACATACGTACAATATATTTTTGGGTAATAATAACTATGAAAATAAAGGGCCCATAGGCCTCTCTACCTAACACATTAACACATTCAACTCAAAGAGTCTTTCTTGGTCCTTTGGTTAAGAAATGAGGACAACATTTGGCAGTGAAGTAATTACTAGTTAGAAGGAATACTATTGCCTATCAAATAAAAACCTCATATAATAATTAAGTTAATTGCTCTTACATGGTGAGTTTAGCTCAATATTACAAACTTTTGAACTACAAGCTAATTTTGACTTTTAATTCTTTTTGCATTTTTTGGGGGTTTTATTTTGAATTTTTATGAATCTATTTTTTTTAATGAAATCTAACGCCAACCGTTCATAAGTTAGAGCAGTTAGAGCATGTCCATCAGAGTATTTAGAGGGTTTTTAGGAGGTTTGTTAAGTTAAAATGATTTAATTGTGTTATTTCTAACAGCCGTCTCTTATTCACGCAATTTCAGAACACTTAAAAAACTTATACGTGTCAATCTGTAGTTGCACGATTTATTTTTATTAAAAAAAAAATTAAAAAGAAAAAGGAAATCGGAACCACAATCTCTCTTTCCCCTTTTACTCTCTTTCCCCCTCTACGATTTCATCGGTGAAAGCTCAAAATCTAAACAATGAAACCCCATAATCCGACTCTGATTTCATCGGTGAAAGCTCACGTCGTTCTCCTTCTTCAAGCCATCTGAATCGAGGCTGTGATGGAGACTGTAGGAATCTTCAGGCGATTCAAAAAGCTCCGTCCGTCTGATATATATGTTGCGATCAGGTCTGTGTGATCCTTATACGAAACCATTTTCTGTTTTCTTGATTACTGCTGGATTTTTTTTGAGATTTTGCTTTAGTTAATCGTTTATAGGAATGGATTTTGGTAAATCATTGAGATTATAGAACTCGACATGCATATCTGATTACAAGCCTTCTTTTGCATATCTGATAACGAAACAAAAGAAGAAACTGTATTGATGATGATGTTTGCTTTCTGAAGTATAGATGTAAAGATGAAATGAATGAAATGCAGGAAAAAGTTATGGAATTTATAGGAACTTTGCCTAAACTATTTGGGATATGGTTTTAAAATCTTAGATTCCTTTGTTCCTCTCAGTTATGTCTATTATTACATAGTGTTCTGAATCTCGAGTTGTAGTAAATCTCCTTTGAAATGTTGATCTCGTGTGGAGAATGCAGATATGAGCAGAGCACATGTCGGTTTTAAAACACGCGAAGATAAACAAACCTGGAATGATCGCCAAGACATCCATAATGCTTGGTCTTTGAGAAACAGACCAAGAGTTAGAGGAAGCAATGGGCGATTTAAGAGCTATAGATAGAGACTGTGAATTCCTTGAACAAGAGAGAATAATGGTCTTCACTTCCGAGAAGCTTCATTCAAGTAGTCTGCTACTCTCCTTCCAGAGCTCGAACCCCAACAGCTACAAATCTTGTCAGATCATGTGTGTGTTAATGTGATCAAAGCATCTTTGTTTCGAGTTTGGTTTAATTCTCTATCTAAACTTCATAGAAACACACTTACAAGTTGTTTGACTGATGCTTTAAGGTCTCTCACGAAGGCAAAGACTATGATCTTGATTTTGTAAAAGCATCCTGCAACTCGTTGAGAAGTGAGTCAGAATTTTTTTTTGTGATTTCATCTGCTATATATTTAATATTGTAACAATCATCTGATCATTATTATTGATTAAATTCTGCGTTGATGTATTCTCAGGTTGACCAATGCTTTGGGAGAGATCATCAAGCATAGCATCATCTTAACTAAAGCTTGGTGCTATTACGAGAGTCAGACGAATTTTCGGTGCTAACACTGAGTGTGCTTTATTGGCGGTGTTACGGAAAGAGGAAACACGGGAGTAGTTGGTTTCTTCCGATGTAGAAAGAAAATTACTTATTCGATTGAACAGGTTAGTGATTCAATACTATTATTTTTCCTCTTGCTTTCAAGGTTGAGCATTCTCGTTTCTGATGTTGTGTTCCTAACTCCTTGTTTGCAGCTGGACGTTTCTGTGTTCTACGTTGGGGTGATGCTGATCACATCAGTTGGGCTCATGGCGAAGGCAGGATTCTCAGCAGAGTTGTACTTTGATTTATGGAATCGGATCCTCTTTAATTTAGTTTACAATAAAATAATTTTACAATTTAGTTTTTTTTTAAGAACCCAATTAGAGGTTCAACCAATAGAAGGGCAAAAAGTTTAAATTAAATACAAAGGTTTTTAGAAAAAAAAAGAAAAAAAAATTATATTAAAAAATGTTTAACAACCTTATCTGGATCTTTACCAATGGAGATGGTCTTATAGTTTACTAGAAGGAAAAAATGATGACATGGTTTCTATAAATGATGTTGACAAGGACCAAAATAAATGTGGCAACATTGTTTTAGAAGAAAACACATTGATATATTAAAAAAATATTGAAGATACAATTAGTATATTTTACATTATTTTATAATGTTTTTTTTTAGGTTTTAACGTTTAAAACTAACCAAATCCTGTAAATTATAACCAATAGTAAATTTAACTATTTTAATATGTTTGATTGATCATCAAATAACTCTCTTTTTCAGTCATCTCGGTTGGGAAGGTAACTACAAAGCTAGTTATGATTTGTCGTATTTGATACTCAAACCTATTAAGAGAATTAATTTTCCAATTGAAAACAATATCCAATAGTAATAAAGATAAAAGCTTCCAAAATTTAACTGGAATGCAAAATCATTGGAGGTATTTGTGTCGTGGAAGAGGTTTCATATACTGTTGAACTAGAAAATCACCATTAGAGTTTTGATAACAGTTGTGGGTTTTAGAGAATAAGATTTTTATTAATAGTGAAAGAGCGAAGCGATTACAAAGACTGCTATAACCGAGAGGTTATACCGAAGTGAAAGAAGGTGTTTGCGAAGTAAACTAGAAAGCGTTAGAGTCTCTGGTTTTTGCTCTGCTACTTTCTAGATTGTATGAGTTGGTTTCTTCAGCTTCGGGGTCTTCGTATTTATAGGGATAAGAGGTCAGTTACTCTGAACTCTTATTCCTTTTCTCAGTGAATATTTCCATATTTGCGATATGGAAATATTCATTATTCTCCGAAGAATATGGAAATTTTCTTTTATCCTTCGAGTCCATCCGATGCTTCCAGACTTCGAAGGTTATCTTTAGGAGTTTTCCTTTTATCCGAGCTAGGTCGGCGCAGTCTTCCTAGTCTTGATGGGCTTAGGTTACTGCTAGAGAAAGCCTTTTAGGAAATGTGCTCATTTCCCTCTAACATGTATGTGTGTGTTAATGTGATCAAAGCATCTTTGTTTCGAGTTTGGTTTAATTCTCTATCTAAACTTCATAGAAACACACTTACAAGTTGTTTGACTGATGCTTTAAGGTCTCTCACGAAGGCAAAGACTATGATCTTGATTTTGTAAAAGCATCCTGCAACTCGTTGAGAAGTGAGTCAGAATTTTTTTTTGTGATTTCATCTGCTATATATTTAATATTGTAACAATCATCTGATCATAATTATTGATTAAATTCTGCGTTGATGTATTCTCAGGTTGACCAATGCTTTGGGAGAGATCATCAAGCATAGCATCATCTTAACTAAAGCTTGGTGCTATTACGAGAGTCAGACGAATTTTCGGTGCTAACACTGAGTGTGCTTTATTGGCGGTGTTACGGAAAGAGGAAACACGGGAGTAGTTGGTTTCTTCCGATAGAAAGAAAATTACTTATTCGATTGAACAGGTTAGTGATTCAATACTATTATTTTTCCTCTTGCTTTCAAGGTTGAGCATTCTCGTTTCTGATGTTGTGTTCCTAACTCCTTGTTTGCAGCCGGACGTTTCTGTGTTCTACGTTGGGGTGATGCTGATCACATCAGTTGGGCTCATGGCGAAGGCAGGATTCTCAGCAGAGTTGTACTTTGATTTATGGAATCGGATCCTCTTTAATTTAGTTTACAATAAAATAATTTT